AATGCAATTTTCCACAAGGAGTCTATTTCGAACAGGGTCACTGCCCCTGCGGTCTGAGACCAGACCAAGCCTTCCGGTTGCTGGTTTGATCTACCAGTGGAGAACATTTGTTGACAGTTCAGAACATTTATTAAAGAAAACGTTTCAGCACAAGTGTGTTCATCAGTCCTGTAGCACTAATAAACACACTTGTGGTGAAACTTTCACTTTAATGTTATTTTGCACAGTTTGTTGGTATCGCTATGCCAGTTACAACTTGATCAACCAGACTGTGCTGGCCTGTACAGTACAGACCAGCACATGCACCACAACCTGGCTGATCAGGACCTGACTTGAGGGGTTTTAATTCCTCTTATGTATGAACAGAAGGTGCTGAAGAGTCTTGGGCCCTTTACACTTATTGAGTCATCTTAGTGTACTCGTTGTACCCAAGCTTTTAATTTGGAGTTATTTTGCACTGTATCAAATATTTAAGTTGCAGAGTGTAGTCAGATAAATAAAAAGACACCAACAACGTCCTTACAGTTTTATAAAAAAAAATAAATTGCAGCAAATTTTATATTTTTTATTGCTGATCAAAAAAATGAAATTGTATTTAACTGTACCACTGAAAAATGCACACAGCAGAAGATTTGAATTTAATACCTTGTAAACCTGACGCAGAGGCTGCGCATCATGGAACGGTTGCCAACTCTCAACAGTGAACCGTTACAACGTCCACAAACATTATGATTTTTTAAAGATTATAATTATTAGCAATTTAAAATTTTGCGACTAAAATGCAGGTAGCAAGGGGCTAGTAACCCTTCCTCCTGTATAAATTACTAAATGTAAAAAAGAGAAACTTTGTTTCTTCTTTTCTGGTTCTGTCTCGGTGAGAGATGGTTGTTGTATGTAAAAAAAGAAATTTATAGATAATACAGATTTTTCCTGATTTATCATCTTTATATAATTTTGTTTTTTTTTGGGGAAAATGGGTTTTCAGTTAATTTATAATATATAAAGAGACCTAGTCCCTGGCCCTCCTCCAACCATGGTAGACACAGGCCCTGGGGAAACAGCCTTGCCTTCTTCCCTCTGAATTAACCCATTAACAGGATATAAATGCAGGGCAGGGAATTACTCCCCATCCTTGCCAATTTATATTAAGGTCAGCTTTAATGTACAGTATTAGGTCTGTCGAAAATGATGTGTATAGTTATGGGCTTTCCTAATTGTACAAAAAGGGTCGACTCCATTTCGTAACATTCATATTCTTTCTGGAAAATATATTTATCATTAATATTGTTATTGTCATTGAAAAAGTATTGCTATGAACTTATACCGGTTGTGGTTCTCTCTGACTCTGTGGTAGATGTGGAGGTTATAGGTTGTGGCTTTCTGAGAGCTCGAAGCCCAAAGAGAGGTCTACCAGAGGAGTCCTTAGGCTCATATTCTTCTGTTTTTGGTTCTTCTTCTGGTTCTGAGTGCGGTTGTGGCTCCTCCTGAGGTCTTGGCTCCTGGCTAGTAGGCTCCGTCTGCTCATCCCTGGGAGTGCTCACACCTGTAATGGATAATTTTCTTGAGTCACCTCATTCTCAAAAAAACTTTTATATCTTTACTGTATGTAATTAGCATTTAGCATGTAAGTTGGATTTAATTTAAAGACAGTGGTAGCAGAAAAATCTTCTATTATAAGGCCTTCTTAGGTCTTGGCTTCATCAAGTATATAAGGAATTGAAAGTACAATGCACCATCTTATAAGGAATACGAGCACCTAAGATCACGTCACCCTCCAGGTATACTCCAGGTATATACACATCAATTATCCTTCATTTGAGACAACAGAAATTATTTCTATCGTGAAGTATAATTATCTCTTAACCTTATTGTAATAATCATGTGGATAAGCAAGGTATGTAAATAATTACATGTGGTGGGTGGTGAGCGTCTCTTCAGAGCTCTAAGACCAAAGAGTGGCAAGCCGTTCTCATCTGTTGGTCCAACACCATAAGCGCTGACAATCTTGTCCACATCTGACTGTTCTGTAGTGGGTTTGGATGGAGTGCGGCTTTGTCCCTTCTGATACCTAAGAGGTTCTGAATATGGCTCGTCAGATGGTGCTGAGTAAGCCAGAATAAAACATGTCAATAAGAGAAACATTCATAATAACAACATATTTATAAATTCGTTCTTCAGATGTGACAATGAAAGTGGTGTAACAGTATTAAAGTAAGAAAAGTTAAAGCATTAGTTTTATATATCTGTAACACCTTGCATACGTAGTAATAATTTTTTTATTAAACACCATATAGTTTATTCCCTCTATACCGAGTAAAATATACAGGTACAGAATATTTCTTCTGTAACATCATGAAGCAGGTATAAAGTGAAGGGAAATGTACACTTATGGAGAGACACAGATAAAAATATTTCTCACCAGTTTTGGTGGGTTGAGTCTGTGTCTTCCCAGGCTTGCTGGGCTCTGGAACTTTAGGTAAAGGTTCAGCTTTCCTTGGTTCCTCCGGCTGAACACTTCGGCCAAACTTCCTGGGTTCCTCAGGCTGAACACTTTGACCAAACCTCCTGGGTTCCTCAGGCTGAGCATTTCGGCCAAACTTCCTGGGTTCCTCAGGCTGAACACTTCGACCAAACTTCCTAGGTTCCTCAGGCTGAACATTTTGACCAAACCTTCTGGGTTCCTCAGGCTGAATATTTCGGCCAAATCTCCTGGGCTCATCAGGTTTGATTTGTCTCTCTGGCTTTTTGGGTTCATCAGGTTCATATTTCTCTGGTTCATCTTCAATATATTTCCTGGGTGATCTAGGCTCTTCTGCTTCTGCAGGCTCTAGTGTTGGTTCCTCTGCAGGCTCAAAGGAATCTCTAGAGGTTTTTCGAGGACGACGGATGCTGGAGGGAGACGTGGCAGGAGACGTAGTGTAGGCTGGCTGGTCCTCCTCTGGTTGCTGAGAGACTGGCAAGGTGTCAGGCTCTTCCACTGTTAAGGTCAACATAAAGATAATGTTATTACTTGTGACTCTTCATCTCTCCGAATAACGTTAAAAGTTGAAATATTACAAAAATATTGTCCATTCAGTATGAAGCACAGAGCACGGTATAGAGCACTTCATTTACCAACAGTTTTAAATTATACGTACATATTTAAATTACTTTGTTAGTTATATACTGAATATCTCCGTTTTGTAACATAAAAAATACAAATGATAAATACCATATGTTTGTCTAAATGATATGGTGAAAAGACGTATTTTACAAGAAAATAGGAATGAGAGATGCACAATACAGATAACACAAGTGCTTTACAATAACAAAAAAGCAGGTGTAACTCAGGTATTTAATAATACAAAGGAAGAAGCCATGCATTCAGGCACATGCTTCCATGCATCATGATGCCTACAACCATTACTTGAGTTATGTGCTTGCTAAGTTTCGTCATGCAATCCGGTGTTGTGCATTATTCTCACCATTGTTAGTAATAAATTTTACCCAAAAACACTTGAAGTATAGTGTTTAGTAAAAAAAAAAGCAACTACAATAGATAAGGATTTAACATAGGACAGGAGAGTCTAGTACCTTTAGTGTGAGATGTTAACTTGCTACAGTAGTTTATTCATCCTTACAGGAGTTATTCAACAGTTAACTTGAAGGGGAAACACAAATATAACAAAACCCTCCAGTCCATATTTGTGAATTATTATTATTATAATCAAAAAGAAGCGCTAAGCCCATATTTGTGAAAATATTCTAAAAAGAACAGAGTTCGGCTTTCACTAAATACCTAGACAAACTAGTGCATGCCACCCTGTGTAATCTTAACTAAGTAAATAACCCAGAAATATGTCTTATTTATTTGCAATGTTTTCTTACACTCATACTAAAACCACAGGCATTGCCTTTTGTCCTATTGCAACCAGAGAGTTTCCCTCAACGCTACACTGCAGCTGTTCCTCCATGGTTATGTCGAGCGGTACTCACACTGGAACATTCTGATCTTATGTGCGATTCCCTTTACTCCTACCATGGGGTTGCCGTCTTTATCTCTCACAGGAGATAAGACAAACCCATTCGAGTCAGTGCGTGATTTCTGTCTCTTGTAGGGACGTCCAATATTTACGGGTCCCTTCCTGGCGGAGACACCTGAAGAGGTGAGATCCGCATGGGGGACAGTATGGAAGGTCTTGAAGCTGGAGGTGCTTATGGAAGACAGTTTGTTGGCGTGGGTCAGGATAGACAGCGAAGGGAGTGCTAGTGTGGGCCAAAACTTATGTGTTAAAAAAAGTTAGCGTGAGAAATTATTCTTTATTTGTGTAAAGTGTTCACGTTCTGGAATAAAAAATAGCAACCATCAAGACTTGAGTAAATAGCTGAAGATTCCTTTGGCAACAAAAGCATTTTTTAAAAACCTTCATCTGACACTGAAAAATTAAATAACTCACTGATGGTTAAATAAGCTTAAAATTAGCAAAAATAAGTAAGCTGTTAGAGTGTAAGCACCTTTAGAGACTCCTACAAAATATTGGCTGTACTGTTACCAGATCATTCATTGTGAAAACTTACATTTTGAGAGAGGTTTCCGTGTTGTGTCACAGAGATTTGGTTCCTCTGAATCTTCAGGTTTGGTCGCCCTTTGATCATCAGGACGTCTTGGCTGAGATGAGACGGGAGTGAACTTCTTGGATGGAACGGTGTTTGATGGTGTGGTAGTGCGGCTTCCTGGTCGTTTGGCAATCCTCAACTGCCCTCGAATAATACGTCGCTCTTCATATGTCTCTGCTTTCTCTAACTGTAAATTAATTCTCTATCATACTTATGCAGAATATGCTGTTAAAAATTATGTTATTTAATTTAAGCATTATGGTATAATCTAAGTACTGTAAATCAAAATTTCACAGGAAAAAAATAATTATGGAAAATTACTTACCATATTTTCGAGAATTGTGACATCAAAAATAGTCTCAATGGAAGAGAGGTATTGAGGAAGGCTGTCTCTTGAGACTTCCAAATCTTCTAGCAATTTTTTGTTGCTGCCAGTGCGCTCAATGCGTCGAATTTTGTTTGTATTTATCCCACTGTCTATTGGCTTCCCTGTGATGAACCTAGTAGGGGATCCCTCCTTGGCAAATGGTGCAGGAGATGATTCCTTGCTACGTGGTACGGGGGTTCCTTCTTTGCTGTGAGGCAGTGATGAACGCTCCTTTGAGTAGGGCGAAGGAGATCTCTCTTTCTTTAGTGGCTCTTGTTTCGTTGATTCCCTACGTACCTCAGTTGTGTTAGTCTGGCTGGTTGTTGCCATGGCATTCATCACAAGCTTACTGGATGTCATCCTGACTTCTTCTTCTACTGGTTCTGGGATAGCTTTTTCCACAGGTTCATCCCCATCACTCTCACCTAGCGGGTGGAAATATTTGGGCACTATAACTGGTTCCTTGGCAGGCTTTCGTTCCTCTGGTTGCTTAGGTTTATCATCTTTCTTGACTGAGGATTTAAGTAAAGGCTTCCTTATGGGTGATGGAATGTGTTCTTGTTTTGGCTGTTCAAACAAAGACCTCTTAGAGAATACGGATTCTTTGATTTCATACGAAGGTTTTCGTGTTGGTTTAATGTCTTTTTTGGCGTCAGGTTGAGAAATTTTGACATTAAAGACAGACCTTCTAGCTGCAACATCCGATGTGGTAATATTTTTCTCATTCTTCTCTGTAATTATCTGAGAAATAACAGGCTTTTCAAAATCAGTTCGCTTCTTAAATATTTCTTCTGTCTTCCTTGGTGGCTGTTTATCATCTTCAGGAGCTTCTTGGGTCGGCAATATTACCTCCTTCGTTATTTCTTCAGTAATACCATTTTCCTTCCCTTCACTGTCACTTGAAGAATAAATTTCTTCATCGGGAAGTTTTTCCAATGGCTTTCCTCCCTTTGGCTTTTTAACAATTTCTTCACTCGGTTTTTGCTCAAATGGTTTTCTTCTTTCAACTTTCTTGTCATCATCAGGCTTCACAGTGGATGGCTTAGTTTCACTTGGCTTCTTTTCAAACGAGCTTCGTTTCTCTATCAACCACGGTCTATCTCTTGGTTTTCTTGTCTCTGGCTGTTTCTTCCTTGGTACCTCACTATCCTTAAGAGGAAGAGACTTGTCACTTGGACGACTTTCCAATGGCTTCGTCTTCCTTGGCTTACTGACATCTTCTCTTGTAGGCGAAGGTTCTTGCTGGGGTTTCCTGCTGCTCTTCACTGTTTTTTTGTCTTCGAGCTCTGTATCAGATGGCTCTTCATAATATTCAGGTTGTTCTTCAGGGGCAGAATCAGATGCCTCTTCTTGAGAATCAATAGCAGGATGCTCAGATGGTTCTCGGACAATTGAGGGTCTATGGATGGTATGGTATGGTAAGTCTGGCTCACAAGACACATCTTCAATTTCAGGACCAAGTTCGTCATCTACAGGAAGTCTTTTCATATCCTCTCTCATTGGAGTTTCAGGAAGTGTAACCACAGGGTCTCTTGACTCTGGAACAGACAGAGTTGACTTTGGTTTCTCCCTTTGTTCAGAATCTGGAGATCTACCCTTGGGAGCCCTCTCAGAAGATTTTGTTGGACTTTTCCTGTCAGGAGTCCTAGAGGGCAATGATTTGGTTGGCTCCCGCTTGTCAGGTGACCTTGCTGTTGGTGATTTTTTAGGAGTCTGCGAGAGCTTCGTTGGCCGTACACCTGACTTTTCTGGTTCACTGGATTTCTCAATTGGCCTTCTGGTCCTTGGAGTCCTGTCTTCAGGCCTCTTGTTAATGTCTCCATTCATCCTTGGCTCTGTTGGTACACGTCTGACATCACCATTCATTCTTGGTTTTCCTTCAGGAGAAGTAGTCTTTTTGACTGTTGGAACAGTTGATCGTGGCTTTTTCTGCGTTCTGGTTGGGCTTACAGGTTCTTTTTCATTTGCTTCCCTGTGTGTTTTACAGAAATTGCGACCAGTTGGAGTTACATCCCTAGGAGTGGACACCCCTGATCTGTTGGGGGAGCGGCCACGATGAGGAGAGCTGGGAACTCGCTGTGGAGAAGTAGTGGATTTTGGGACACGTTTTGTAGATTCTTTGGGTGTAATTGGTTCCCTTGGGGCAGGGACACGCCTAGTGGGCGAGTCTTCCTTTGAAGGCACTTTTCTGGAAGTGGCAGGAACTCTACGTGATGGTTCATCAGCCTCGGGCTTCTTCCTAGGACTCGTCTCACGCTTTTTTCTTGGTTCTTCTATCTTTCTGGGTTTCTCTATTGTTTTTCTCGAGGCTGTGGGAGATTTCTTTGATGGTGCAGGCTTCTGCAGTGGCTCTGCAGGCTCCTCTTCTGATGGTGAATATACCTCTTCATCTGGCTCTACTTCATCAGGAGACATTTCCTCCTCTGGCTCTTCTATATCTTCAGGCTCAAGTTGATCTTGTTTGTAGCGCCACTTTTCCTCTTCTTCAAGCTTTGCTATTTCTGTATCTAGATCTTTAATGTCCACATCCTTAGTTTCAACAGAGATGTCCGGTTTTTCCTGTAGGTCTTTCTTGGTTTGGTACGTTAATTTATGCGTCTCCACATCTTCAACAGTCGCCTGATCTTTCTCGATGCGGAGTTTTACTTCAATTGATGCCTTATCATCTGAAAATGCAGGCAGTAAATCTCTCTTTGCTGCATCTTTGTCAGGTTCACGTGGTCGGTCTTTGGGTTCCAATTTTCTAGGAGTTGACTTGGGAATTGGTGAACTTCCACCTGCAGTCTTAGCTGCATCTTCAAAGAATTTCTTTTTATTCAAGGTGTTTAAACGGTCAGGCTTGCTTGGTTTGTCTGCTGACTCTGTCTTTTTACTGGAAGTTGGAACAAATCTATTCTTTAATGCTGAAACAGAACCATAAGGAACATCATCCTGATCATCCTCTGGCTCCTCAGTAGTGCTAGGTTTCTTGTTTTCACGTTTGGTTGTTTTACTGGGAGCAATGTTTGCAACTAATGTGGATTTCATTATTGTTTTTGGAATTTCTTTTTCTCCTTCCTCAGTCAAAACAACATCCTTAGTATGAACCCTCTTTGTTATGTTGTATTTCTCTCCCGATGTTTTACTCTGCCGGGTTTCAATAATAACGCTGATGGGCTCCCCATCGTCACCAATTTCCTCTTTCCTACGAGTGTAAACAACTTCATCATCAAGTGAAGGAAAGAAGCCAACTTCCTCATCGTCATTTCCTCCCTCATGCTTAATGACAACATAGCTCGTTTCTCGCTCAGGAACCAGGACTGGGGTGGACCGAATCACGGTCTTTGTGGTGTACTCTGTGCCATCCACACGCCTTCTGATCTCCACTACACTCTTAACAATGGTGCCGTCCTCTTCCTCATATTCATTCTCCTCACAGCTTACCACCATGTCATCTGGACTTCCTAACTGAACAAATTCCTCAGGTTTCCGTGGACTTTCATTACCTCTATACTTTATGTGAACTTGTGGACCAAATTTGGATGTTTTTTCTGTTCGTTCTACTGTGTATTGCACACCATCTGAACGTCTGCGTCTTTCAATGACAGTCTTGATGATGTAGCCATCTTCAGTCTCTTTTTCATCAACAGACTGGTCCACAAGTTCATCATCTTCAGTTCCGACAAACGTTACAGGGGCTGGCGAACTGAAAGTCCTGTGAATATTGTGTGTAGTGTATACTGATCCATCAGGCCTCTGGTATCGCTGAATAACAGTTTTGACCACAGTCCCATCATCTGTTTCTTCTTCAGTAACATTCTCATCTAATATCTCATCTTCTGATGACCTTGGATGGTGAGTTGGCTGCTGATATGTTTTGGACATTCTGCGAAGCGTGTACTGAAGACCAGACACACTGCTGCGTCGGCGTTCTGTCACGGCTTTGTAATGTGTGCCATCGTTAAGCGTTTTTTCCTTTACTTCCTCCTGCAGCACTTCGTCATCTAAGCTAGCCACTTGTAGCACTGGTTCTGGCATCTTGGGAATCCTCATGATGCGGTGACGTAAGTATTCAGTGCCATCCTTAGCACGCCTTCGTTCAATAATAGTTTTCACCGTTGAACCATCTTCTTTAACATCTTCTTTTACATCTTCATTAATAAGCTCGTCATCAGCACTGACAGCGATGTTAGAAGAGCCTGGACCACCAACAGGTATTTTCTTCACATCGTCTTCTGTACCATGGAAAGTGCGAAGCACATATTCAAATGAGTAAGTTGACCCATCTTTCCTCCGGCGGGTTTCTGTGACCACTTTTACAGTGACACCATTATCATCTGTCTCCTCCTTCTCCTTTCTTATTAATCACTTCGTCATCATTTTGCATGATGGGTAAACCCTTCTGCAGATCTACTCCTGAGAGCGTCATTCTACGTGATCTGAAAACCTGTCTATGGGTGTATTCCTCACCCGTTTTGGTACGACGGGTCTCGATCACAGTACGAATGATCGATCCATCATCCTTTTTCTCTTCTGTCTCTTTGGTGTCGATCACTTCGTCATCGTCTGATGGAGTGATCTGGGTGCTCTTGACTTTAGAAGTTTTGTAAACCTTTTTGGTAGTGTATTCCATACCATTAGGTTTGCGCCTCGTCTCGGTAATAGTCTGGATTGTAATTCCGTTCTCATCAGTTTCTTCAGTTTCATCAGTGGATATAAGTTCATCCTCTTCATTATAAGCAACGTCTTCAGGATGATCATAATCAAAGATCTTGGAAGTCTTTAAGATGTTCTTAGTAGTATAGGTAATACCATCGGGTCTGCGCCGGGTTTCAGTGATGATTTTTATCTTGTTACCTTCCTTGTCTTCCTCCTCAGCAACGTCTCGCTCTAACACTTCATGGTCTGGATTTCCAATAAGAATTTCGTCAATTTCGCTCTCAGTATTGACAACTTTCGTTGACCTGGCCACACGACGAGCAGTACATTCGGTACCATCTTTCTTGCGACGTGTCTGCACCAGCATCTTCACAATGTTGCCAGAGTCATCCACACAGTCCTCCTCTTCTTCCATGATTATCTCATCATCATCATCACTGACACTTGCCTTAAGGTAAGAATCTAGTTTGTCTAACTCAGACATGATAGACGTTTCCATTTTGGACTCTATTTCTGCCAGCTTTGATTTTTTTGAAGGTACACCCTTGTTGCTTGTCCTTGTAGGAGACTTGGCAGGTGAGGTAGGAGCTTCCTTCTGAGCACCCGTTCTTCGTGGCATTTGGCTTCTAGATGAACTTTCTCCTGGAGTGTGTTTTGTGGGAGATGTTGGGGATGTCTTTTCTCCACCAGTACGTTTAACTGAGCTCAGATCTAACTCTTTGGAAGTCTTCCTCTCACTAACTCTCCGAGATGATGATTCTTTACGAACCGGTATTTCTGATTGTCTGGACCTTGTTGTTCTTGTTGATGTCTTTTCTTCCTTTGAAGTTTTTCTGGAGGAGGATGTTTTAGAGGTGGATGTTTGCATAGCTTGTAGCACATTTTCACTGTCAGCCTTGAGTGCTACCTCGTCATCTGAAATAAGGCGGCCTTCATTGGCAGAAGTTTCATCCTCAGCAGAAGATCTGCGTTCTCTCATGATGCGCGTGGGAGATACAGAGTCTCGAACTTCCTTATTCTTCATAGAGAGATAACCTCCACCGGCCAGAGCATTAGACTGAATAGAGTAAGTATTCTTTGTGATGGAAACAACAGCTTCTCCCTCGCTGTTGGCCTCGCTGTCTGACAGCTCACCCATGATACGCTGGAACCTGGTGGCTCGATCCTCACTAGCTTTGCGAATACGTTCTTCTATGATGTCATCTGGCTGGAGGCCCTCGAGGGAGACGGTGTCCACCCCACGCATTGTAAGTCCACCAAGACGAACGTTCTGTGTCGATATGGATTCAGTCACGGCAGAGTCCCCATCCACGTGCATTGTCACCTGTGTTAGAATATTCTTAAAGTTGCAAATCTAGCATTACAAGAAAAGCCAAATGTTACATTTAATTTTGTATTCATTAAAAACATGACAGTGCTGAATAAATTGTTTCTGTCCATGCCAAATTATGGCGGTGGTGTATTGGCGTTTGGAAAAATGAGAAAAGTTCTCCTAACGGGGGTATTAGTTATGTGATGGTCCTTTACATGGAACTTTCGGTCCTACGAGTGTGTCTTCAGTTAGCTTACCCGTCAACCCCATGAAAACTTAAATAATAATACAATGTACGATGCCATGTTTAAGTTTCTCCTCACCAATCAGAAAATAAAAGATAATTTTTTTTGCAACATTATATTAAGAGTATAAAAAATAATGAATTTTAAGATTTCTGATTCTAATGTATAGCACATTAAATTATGAATACTGTTAAGTGGATGGAATGTTCATGAGATGATCTAACATGTTTAACTAAGGACATAAGGAGACTGAGTTCCAGCTCTTGGGCCCTTCTTTATCCCCATTCCTTCTTCCTGAGACATGGCAGCTCTGGCTGACCGATCTCAACACTAGGAAATCTACCCTTTGTGACGGACTGTAACAAACAAATGTGACTAGTTTTTCCCCCACTCTAACTGTCATGTACAATAGGGTTTAAATGTATTTGGTTATCCTAGTTTCAATTTTGCATGATTTACTACATAAAACTATTTTAAAAAGTTTCAAAATTTGAACAAGGCCTCAATAATTTTTTTACTGATGTACATAATTATGGTAAATTAAAAAAAAAGATCTACATGAGCAAAATGCTATGTATAGTATATGGGTGATAAGAGAAATAAACAGATAGTGAAAAGATCTGTATTTATTTTATGAGAAGTATTAAACTCGTTAGGACCATTCAGATACCTTACCTGTGGACTACTCAGGATCAAATGAACAGTGACACACAAAAAACGAGAGAAAGGGATACTAGGACACAATGGAAGTTTGAATCTCAGCAAGGTACTAGACCTTATATCCTGGCAGACGAGACTGGAGAATATAGTGACCCAGCTACAGCTACGGATACTGAGAGAGATGTCAGTGTGTTACCTGTATGTTAGAGGAGCGTCGGGTACTGTCACTCCCTCCCTCGACGGTGATGGTTGTCTCTGAACACTCTGTGACGCCTCCGTCATCAGTGACGTTAAGGGTGCCCAAGCTCTCCTCGTCATTCTGCATCATCTCCCTCAGACGCTGCTCCCTCAACTTGTACATCCTGGCCCTGATCCGCCGACGCTCCCCGAAGTCCTCCGCTTGCTGCCACTGCCAACACAATACTTGACTCAGCATCCTGGCTTCATGCAGATACATTCTACCCTCACGAGATGCATCACAAGTGACACTACCTCTACCATTAAAACATACATCTAAAGCGATATTCACTCTACCACAAGATACGTCCAAAGCACGTTCTACCGGCTAATACACATCCATTAAAACACATTTTATCTCATGCCTAAAGACCGCTGTTAAATGAGTGACGTTGAATGTATTTCCTCCGTTGGGTCACCCTACCTTGGTGGGAAACATCCAGTGTGCTCTAAACCTATTTCATGTATAACAACGAATAAACAAAGTGACATGATATGTTTAAGTCAGTTATCCTATGTTTACTAATGCTACAAGGACAAGCCTATCATAGCACAATGTTTCGTGCTTTACTGCTGTACAAATATTTCAGTAATTTACCCAGTAGGTTTACCATTATGTGGCAAACTGCAAGGTTCTTACCGAAAAAACGCTGGAGTGACTGAAGTGTAAATTGTCTGTGTAAGTTGTCTGTGTAAGTTTGTCTGTGTAAATTGTCTGTGTAAGTTGTCTGTGTAAGTTGTCTGGTGAAGTTGTCTGTTAAGTTTGTCTGTGTAAGTTGTCTGTGTAAGTTGTCTGTGTAAGTTGTCTGTGTAAGTTGTCTGTGTAAGTTGTCTGTGTAAGTTGTCTGTGCAAGTTGTCTGTATAAGTTTGTCTGTGTAAGTTGTCTGTGTAAGTTGTCTGTGTAAGCTGTCTGTGTAAGTTTGTCTGTGTAAGTTGTCTGTGTAAGTTTGTGTGTCTGTCTGTGTAAGTTGTCTGTGTAAGTTGTCTGTGTAAGTTGTCTGTGTAAGTTTGTCTGTGTAAGTTGTCTGTGTAAGTTGTCTGTGTAAGTTTGTCTGTGTAAGTTGTCTGTGTAAGTTGTCTGTGTAAGTTGTCTGTGTAAGTTGTCTGTGTAAGTTGTCTGTTAAGTTGTCTGTGTAAGTTTGTCTGGTAAGTTGTCTGTGTAAGTTGTCTGTGTAATTTGTCTGTGTAAGTTGTCTGTGTAAGTTGTCTGTGTAAGTTGTTGTAAGTTGTCTGTTAGTTGTTTAAGTTGTCTGTTAATGTTGTCTGTGTTGTTAAGTTTGTATGTGTGTAAGTTTGTCTGTGTAAGTTTGTCTGTGTAAGTTGTCTGTGTAAGTTGTCTGTGTAAGTTGTCTGTGTAAGTTGTCTGTGTAAGTTGTTTGTGTAAGTTGTTGTGTAAGTTGTCTGTGTAAGTTGTCTGTGTAAGTTGTCTGTGTAAGTTGTGTGTAAGTTGTGTGTAAGTTGTTTGTGTAAGTTGTCTGTGTAAGTTGTGTGTAAGTTGTGTGTAAGTTGTCTGTGTAAGTTTGGTCTGTTGTAAGTTGTGTGTAAGTTGTGTAGTTGTGTAAGTTGTTTGTGTAAGTTTGGTTTGTGTTAAGTGTTTGTGTAAGTTGTTTGTGTAAGTTGTAAGTTGTTGTGTAAGTTGTTTGTGTAAGTTGTTTGTGTAAGTTGTTTGTGTAAGTTGTTTGTGTAAGTTGTTTGTGTAAGTTGTTTGTGTAAGTTGTTTGTGTAAGTTGTTGTGTAAGTGTTGTGTAAGTTGTTTGTGTAAGTTGTTTGTGTAAGTTGTTTGTGTAAGTTGTTTGTGTAAGTTGTTTGTGTGTAAGTTGTTTGTGTAAGTTGTTAGTTTTTTGTAGTTGTGTAAGTTGTTTGTGTAAGTTTTGTGTAAGTTGTTTGTGTAAGTTGTTTGTGTAAGTTGTTTGTGTAAGTTGTTTGTGTAAGTGCTCAAAATCTGAAGTTCAACTTTGTCCAAAAATACTCAAAGACATGCAAAAATTCTTAAATGTATATAACAAGTGTTCTACCATATGAAAACATATTTCAAACTTAGAAAATCTGTACGAGTGGAGAGAGAGAGAGAGAGAGAGAGAGAGAGAGAGAGAGAGAGAGAGAGAGAGAGAGAGAGAGAGAGAGAGAGAGAGAGAGAGAGAGAGTATGAGTGGAGTGAGTGCACATGTGAGTATGGGTAGTACAATTTGTGGTTATGGGTGGTGAGTAAAGGAGTTTATAAATGACAAGTGATTCGTAATGTTAAGTATGAGTGTAGGTATTATGAATAACTTTGAGAAACAAGGTGACGCGGCTAACATATAAAGGTCATCTTAATTACCATTAACATATAATTCACCTGCCTCGTACTAACTCATTAAAAGTGAAATATACAGGTCACACTGGGTCAGAAATGTTAAATGTTAATCTCAAGGGACAAAAAAACAGTACAACTGACATAATAAAACTGAATATTATTGCTGATAAATTTCATTTTTGTCTATCCTCCAACAGAGATTGATAGCGCGTTCAACTCACACACTGAGGTCCGTGGTTCGATCTCCGGTACGGGTGGTAAACATTACGAAGTGTTTCCTTAAGACACCTGCTATTCCTGTTCACCTAGCAGTAAAATAGGTACCTGGGTGTTAGTCGACTGGTGTGGATCGCATCCTGGGGACAAAACTGACCATTTTTTTCCGAAATGTTCTGCCTAACAAGAGACTTTCTGTATAGCAGGACAGATGTAGGTACCTATACAAGTTATAGATACTTGTAGAAATAAAGACTATTATTATTATTATTATTATTATTATTATTATTATTATTATTATTATGATGATGATGATCCATTTCGTAATCACTAACAGTAACGTTACGTTTCTTATTTCTCTCTTCCTGTTTACTACAACCTGTTTCACTGTTCTATCCTACCCAATCCTTCCTCTCCTTATTCTTGGTATCCCTCTTATGGTGCAGTCATAAAAAATAGAACAATGAACAGACATAACACAGACATAAGAACAAACTGCTTGTTAATACATACCGGACAGTATAACATACGTAATTCATTCATTATATACAAGCTTTCAAGTGTATGGTGCATGAGCTAACTATTTTGCTGTTAATATTTTATATATTTCACTCAAGTGCATAATTTTCCTTGTATAATATTTACAAATATATTCTATTAGTGAAGTTAATTTACCTAAAGCGGTTTAAGAATTGTGTGTGTACTAACTCGTTCATGCTAACATAGTGTAGCAGCATAACCTGGGCAACACCACATGATCCAACACTTTTAATGACTGACTTACCTTAGCCGTCAGAATATTAAATGACACACACACACACACACACACACACACACACACACACACACACACACACACACACACACACACACACACACGACATATAAAATACTGCGCGGAATAGACAAGGTGGACAAAGACGGGATGTTCCAGAGATGGGACACAGACACATGAGGTCACAATTGGAAGTTGAAGACTCAGATGAATCAAAGGGATGTTAGGAAGTATTTCTTCAGTCATAGAGTAGTCAGGCCGTGGAATAGCTTAGAAAGGGATGTAGTGGAGGCAGGAACCATACATAGTTTTAAGGCGAGGTATGATAGAGCTCATGGGGCAGGGAGAGAGAGGACCTAGTAGCAATCAGCGAAGAGGCGGGGCCAGGAGCTGTGACTCGACCCCTGCAACCACAAATAGGTGAGTGCAAATAGGTGAATACACACACAGGTCTCTGTAAGAAACATGGATGCGTGCGTGTGCGTGCGTTTGTAAGTACATATACGAGTATGATCAATATACATATGTAAAAAACACAGGTATATATATAAGTCGACATGCATGTGTGGATACATTCATCATTTTGCATGCTTGTGTTTGTAAGATACAAGAGGCTCGGAAGAACGTGTCAGTACATATTAAAACGTGCAGGCATGCATAAGCTGGTTGTTTGTGAGTCACATAGACGGGGCAAGGAGCTAGAGACCAACCGTAAGGACCAAGTCTGGGTATGTACCGTCATGTGTGTGGGTGATTTCACTCAGGTGTGTTAACCAAGGTTGTGCCAGGGTGCTACCCTTCAACCAACCACCATTCACATGGTCCAAACATTACGATCTTCTAGCACTGCTTTTTTTTTTTTTGCAGGTTAGATTGGGTTAGCTTTTGGTGGTGTGACTCATAGCCAGACCAGGTCCAGACGGTTTGTGTCCAGTCTGTTTCAGGACACGATGGGGTGAAGTAGGGAAAGGTGATGGGGAGAGTAGGGGGAAGGTGATAAAGAGAGGACTAAAACACATGAGAACCATTAGGGTCTCATTAAACAGGGACTTTTATCAATTAAATATGGAGAAATGAGAAGAGAGTCTTTTATAGGAGAGCGATGCCCACAAGTGAAAGTAGGTCAGGCCTCTTAGATGGACCTGAGATTTAGCATTCAAGTTGAATTGGTACGGAGAATACTAGATTATACAATTCGTCTGCTAAATCTTTGACCCATCTTAAAGAGCCTCATCTACTTCCACTAGTGGCCCCGCCCACATGTGACCACGTCTACCACTGCTGCATCACTCTACTATAAAAGTCTCCTATCTAAATTCCTGTGTATTAGATTGATAAAACTCTGATGGACTAGAAGTCTCTTGGTAAAGATACCCAGGTGTTACACATGTGTCTTTTTAGCTTGTCGGTATTGTACACCTTTGATATACAGAGAGTAGGGGAAGACAACGGGAACAGAGTAGAGGAAGGTGATGGGGAAGACTCACCATTATCCTGAGTCGCTCCTCATCAGTGATAGCGTCGAGGTCGGCCATGGCGGTGGTGGCCCCATAGGGCGCCGCCACCGAACTCATCCCAGCCTGCAGGAGACACACACCTCAGCTCACCTCACCACTACTGAGACACCTCAGCTCACCACACCACTGCTGAGACACACCTCAGCTCACCACTGCTGAGACACACCTCAGCTCACCACTGCTGAGACACACCTCAGCTCACCACTGCTGAGACACACCTCAGCTCACCACTGCTGAGACACCTCAGCTCACCACTGCTGAGACACACCTCAGTTCACCACACCACTGCTGAGACACACCTCAGCTCACTACTACTCATCACTCTCGTCTGATTTACAAGGGTGTGCACAAAAGCAGAAGCCTTAACACAGTAATATCAGTCTGCTCTGGTCACTAGTCCAGGCGAAAGTGCCTCTAACAACAGTCATTGTTTACACTCGTCGTCCAGTCAACATTCCACTCTGCTGCCAGGTTCCAGTCCCATGTTTACTTCATATACAAATTTTATTTTTTTCAACATTAGTTTAAATTTGTATTTATTTATTGTAATTGTTAAATAACAAGTTGTTCAGAATATTCAGAAATTTACTGAGACCAGGACATGCGTATAGATCGCACAATTAAAAGGTTGTACTTGTGAATATCCACAGGAAGGTGTATATCTCTCTTTGTATATACGCGATTTACTTCAGATCCTATTTTAGAGATTAAAGTATTCTTGAAATGATAGCAGCCTTATCCGTCACGGTTGATTCCTCAGGCAATCGACAGACTTTAAACCTCATAATTCAAATGGTTTGCCCGCCGTTCGAAACGTTCATTATAATTCAAGCTCCGAGAGGAACTTGTATTGTGAATGTTCTACGGAATATAATACCAGTAATCAGGTTAAAATGTGATCAGTCTTAATCATTGTGTGACTCTGGGTGTTCTGGTGAGCACCAAGTCAGAATCCGGGATTTGTTGCTGAACACGTTCCACGCAAGGTTCACGTTCCACGCAAAGCTCATAGGTAGGATAGTCCGCAGCACCAAACCCTTCACGAGAGAGGGCGCCTACATGCTAGTGAAGAGCGCTCTCTATCCATGAAACTGGAACTATCCCCTTCTCTGATCAAACATGATTACCTCTCATTCCCCCAGGCGCTGTTTGACCCCTATGCGTTTAACACTTCCCTCTTTGAAAATAATAGCCGGTGAACCCATGGAACAATTTCGGGAGGAGCTAGTGAACCTCACCATGGTCAAGTAAGCGTCGCCACTCAGAAGGGATAAGAGAACATACACTTCGATGCCATCAGATGACACTTCAACGAAAACACTTAATTGGCATCAAATGACAGCAAGTTGAACAACTTCCGCAAAGTTGTTTATGTTTGCAGAGTTTGTAGACTTTACAATAATGTCTATAAGATTTTTCAAGTTAGTTATAGAGTTTTCTTCGTGGCGTACAAGAAATACTGTACTAACACTAGAGTGAACCAGTGATTCAGATCATACAGAATACTAACATTAGAGTGAACCAGTGATTCAGATCATACAGAATACTAACATTAGAGTGAACCAGTGATTCAGATCATACAAAATACTAACACTAGAGTGAGCCAGTGATTCAGATCATACAAAATACTAACACTAAAGTGAACCAGTGATTCAGATCATACAAAATACTAACACTAGAGTGAACCAATGATTCAGATCATACAGAATACTAACACTAAAGTGAACCAGTGATTCAGATCATACAGAATACTAACACTAAAGTGAACCAGTGATTCAGATCACAACACGATGCATATGACACAATATTAGTTCAATTTAATCTACAAGACTAAAGTGTACATACACGGAGAGGTACATATATCTCTCAGTATATATATACAGTTTAACTGATTTCTTACTTTAGGGATTAAAGTGTTCTTGACAAAGGCGACGACTCCCACGTAGCCTACATAGAACTAGGTCACTGGAGTTCTCAGTAAAGCTGTTTTGACATGGAATAATCACGATCGGGACAAGTAGTTTTATATATAATATAATGAATGTAAAAACCCCAGAGGCAGGAAGCTCATCTTCACCTTCAGCCTTGATAAACAAAGCATCAACCCAGCTTACAACACAGGCTGTCTAGGGATGTGACCTGATAATAGTGACTGGATGACGGATATAAGGGAAAAGAAAGAAAAGGAAGCGTAGACGAAGGAGGAGGAGGAGGAGGAGGAGGTGATGGAAAAAAGATTAGGGAGAATATTAAGAGGAAGAAGTGGCGGTGGTGGTATCGCTGAAGGTTGAGCAGTTAGACCTCTGGAGGTTCACAGTACAACTTTCACCTTCGGTTCCCGCCTCGCTTTTTTTTTACCCGTCTTGGGCACCTCCTTCTCTACCCCCACCATCCGTGCGTTATGCGCTCTCTCCCTCCCTTTCACACGCACAAACCCGCACTACTACTAACACCGCCCTGAACACACGAAACTCCACAGCCTACGCTGAACTGCATGCTGCTAGTATCAACAGCCTGACCGACCGTGCCATCAACTAGAAGGCCTTGTCTGTGACTGGGCAGCGGGGGCTATGACCCCCCGGAATCTACAAAAACCACAAAACTACCAAACATTAAAAAATCAGTATAAGCTCACATCATCTTATATATATCGACACCATGCCCAGCCCTTCTAGGGCAGGGTAGGTGCCTGAGCCCGAGCCTTTAGCTCATAAGACTGTCATTCCCATTAGCCCCCTTGGGGCGGGGATGGCAGACCAGAGAGGCCTAGCTTGTGGCCCCAGGCTAGGCCTGGGGACAGTTGGTCCCAAAGATGAGGAGGTACTTGTGCCTCCTCCCATGGGAGACTTAGGTCTCAGACACTCCCTAAAGAGGGAGCCAAGGCCGGGCCACCACTTGGAAAAGGCCCGGGCCGGGAGAATACCGGCTAATCTTTAATAATAATAATAATCATCTTATAATTTCCTGCTGAGATTAAGAAAGCCAGAGACTGCGTATCACAAGTATGGAAGCGCCCTGGCATCACCTCCTTATATTACAAACAGGTAATAATAATAGAATTACTGTTAAAATGTTAGGTAAATGGACAAAGATGCAACTAATGAGACTTTATCGCGGCAACGTTTCGCTCTCCAGGAGCTTTATCAAGCCGTTGACAAAGCTCCTGGAGAGTGAAATGTTGTCACAGTAAAATGTCACGTTAGTTGCCTCTTCGTCCATTTACTAACACAAACAACATGCTCTAAATCCGTATGGGTCATACAAACCCTAGTATAAAGGTTATGTTATATTATGTTAATCAAGGGGAAGCGCTAAACCCGGAGGATTATACAGCGCCTGGGGGGGGGATGTGGAAGGCATTCAGGCTTAATTCGGGGAACTGGAGCACAGATCCAATTCCCTAAATCAAGAGCCCCTCACCAACATCAAGGAACCTTCCTTGAGGGGGTACAAAGGTTAGGGGATTAAAATTTACTAGCCGGCCCAATGTGAAGTAGGTCATATGAGGCTAAGATCAAGGAAGATTAATCAGGATGTAGTGAGCTGGAGCAGGTCAGTACACACCAGTGCACCAGGATGTAGTCTAAGTGAAATACAACAACAACAACAACTGTATTTTCTACAGTGTGGAAGGAATCAGGTATCTTTTTTAAATATTTCTCAGTCAGCCTCCAGTTCTCATGGGGGCTGCAGCCCCCTCTTTCAGAAACGTTAATTCATTGTATTTCATTACTAGAGTAGCAACCAGGTAAGAGGCAGGACCAGGAGCTATGAATCGACCCTTGCAACTACAATTAGATAAGTACAATTAGGTGAGTACAGAGAAGGATACGAGTGTAGTGTTACCAACATAAAGGGTATACGCCGAGACACTGATACCACACACCTCTTTAGTGGAGTGACAGGACCAGGGTAGGTGGGTGCTGGTTGGTGTAGGGGGCCAGAGAAAGGGCAGTGGTAAGTGGAAAGATAAGAAAATACTTATATGGGATGGGAGAGATAATGATATGGAGAAGGACGGGAGAATAGAGGAAGAATGAAAGTGAATGTAAGGGAGAGGGAGAGAGTGTTTCTAAAATTGCTGGATACGACGAGACAGTCAAGGTCACGGAGGTGACACTGGTATATGTTTTTCTAAATGTATGCACGCCCAGCTCCTTCCTTGATGATGTCATTCATATTCACCTGCAACTGATGTTCTTCAAGCTATGCATAAACCCTTGTACCTCCGTACAAGTGTGTACAATATATTAGACCTCAATCACAACGAGCAGACTCGATCAACTCCTTTAATAGACAATGTGGCCTACCTTCTGTTTCAAAAAAAAAGTCACCATTATTATAATTGTTGGTGACCTTAACTAGTTTTTTACAGAGGAATTTTAATGAACTTCTTGCAGTGTTTGACATGAAAAACGTTGAAGACTTTCCTACTTTTATCTTACTCCTCCCTCGACCCTGTAGTAGCGAGTGATTTATCTGAAGGCACAGTCATTTGTAAATCTCTTGGTTATGTTAGTTCATCTAATCACAAGTCTCTATACAATACCGAAGGATCAGCAGAGAGAAATGAAAAATCGCACAACCTGGCAGTGGAAAAAAAAAAGTAAACTGGCTGGCCTTTTGCTGGGAGATTGACGCCTATAGACTCCTCTTCTCCAAAGTGATGCTAATAACCAAGTGATACGCCATCACCGAACGTATCCTCCAACACAAGCACATCCCTTCACCGGCAGTATGTACCGAAGCCTTCAGATCAGCCTTGGTTTGGCTGTCGTTGCTACTAGGTCGCTAGTGTCAAGTAGAAGTTTAAAGAATTTTCAAGAAGCATCCTACCACCTATAACAGGAACCTCCACAGGTAAACTTGTCGGGGAATGAAGGAAGCCCAAAACTGGGCGATCTCTATATGGGAGGCAGACACACAAGATAAGAAAACTGGCACCAGGTAGAGTGAGCTCCTAAACCTGGAGGTCCTTGGTTAAGTATCGACAAGGATATTCATTTAACGAATTCATTCCATCTCTGACTCGACTGGATGGGACTGTCTCTACCAACAGTCAAGAAAAAGTTGACCTGTTTTCTAGAAATTTTGCCGTCAAGATGTAAGTCCCTGATCGAGTTGGGGAATCTTTTTCGCTAACCACAAGAACTGTGTCAAAAATGTCAGAGGTTACAATAAGACAAAATAAATTATATCTCATTAAAACTTCAATATGGTTTCGGAAAAGGTCATTTTGCAGCTGATCTGTTAAACCTCTCCACTATGTGACACCAGACACTGGATGAATCCAAGAGCAACTGTGTAGTAGCAATAAGACACTGCTTGCGCCTTCGATCGAGTATGGTACCAGGGACTCTTAGCAAAGCTGGCACTTATTAGGAGTCTCTGGTTATTACATTTCCTTAGTGATTACCTCCAAGGTAGATGAGTAGTTCACAAGGAGTCAGGCTACAAGACATACAGTCAGTGTCAGTGTTACAAAAGGAAATGTGCTTCATCCATTGTTATGGAAGAATCCCACTCCTATGCCTATGCAAATGCCTATACTCTAACAGTTACTTATACAAGAGAAGAAATGCCAGTTGCCCCAGGCACGCCAATCACCAATTTACAGATAGATCAACCTCATGAAAACGACAAGCTATACATATATGCTTCTAAGACAACACAAATGATGGTCTCTAGAGAGCATGATGTTAATGCTGGATCAGTGGTAAGAATTAATGAAAATGTTAGAACCTGAGGACGAGGTGGATATTCCAGGGGTGAAATATGACTCCAAAAGAATCACGCAGTGAATCTTGCAAGCAAGGCAGTCACGAAGCTAACAGCACTAAGGAGCATTTCGTACCTGCTCAACAGCAAAAACTGCAAAATTCTGTATGAGGCACAACTGAATTCACACCTTGAGTATGCTCCATTTTACTGGGTTGCCCGTACTACGTCTTATCTACGACGACAGAGAACTGTACAAGACGACTTATCTCTCGCCTGAACGGATCTTTCAACTCAGCAGAACCTTCAACACCAGTTATGTACAAGGCCAATACTGTCAAAATACCTCAAAATGCTACACTGAACTCTGTTTTGTGTACAACAAGAAGACAGCTTCTATACCACAAGACGGACAGCAAACAACAACAATACTCTTGCTGTTCCCTTCTCAAGAACATCCCTTCATCTAAGATTATTTATTCCTAGAATAACTAGAGTCTGGAACAAGTTCGTTCAGCATAACAACATTAAAGAAATAAACTCAGATGACCAGATAAAAATCTCTGGCCCACAATTAGCACTAATATCATATTTCTTATTTGCTTGTTTCATAACAATAAAAATTCAGTAAAGATAATACTGGGAAAGACTTTTAAGCTGAGGTAGGTAACAGCTCTTAGCTTAACCTAACCTAGTAAAAGCACTTGTGTTTAGAGAGAGAGAGAGAGAGAGAGAGAGAGAGAGGAGAGAGAGAGAGAGAGAGAGAGAGAGAGAGAGAGAGAGAGAGAGAGAGAGAGACCGGTCTATAATTCTTCATCTATCAGAGCTTGCAATTAAAACCACAACCTTGGCAGTGGCAATCCGACTCTTCGAAGACCAGCCCCCACCGTCTTTTCCCCCGCCTCCCTACCACACCCACAACCCCCACCACCGTTACCCCATCACATGGGTGGACGAGTGAGTTCCCTCCATCTCAACACGCAACACCCTGCCAAGGTGACCCATGCTTGCCCATTACTGTATTAGGGAAAGAAGAAGAGGGTAGTGGTGAACCCACGTGACCTGATCCACTTTTCCATCGGAGGTCACATCAAGTAACTTGACCAATATATAAATATAACAAACAAATTCACATGCGTTTGATATACCTGTGAGGGATATCGAGGGAGTTTCTAGCCTACCAGCCCGACCTTTGGTAGTGTTTCCTTGTTGAGTGCCTCTTCAACCAGGCTGTTGCTGTTAGTGACCCGCTGGCAGATACAGCCTTCACTGCCTGATTGATCTGCCACTTGGAGGGGGTAACGATGCAGTTCCCTCTTGAACTCTTCCACAGGTGTTCTAGCGATAATTTTGATACTTGTTGGCAGCAGGTTGAACCGAGGACCACAGATGCTGATACAGTGTTCTCTTATTGTGCCCTTGCTTTTTACTGGAGCTATGTTACACTTTCTCCAATATCTCTCACTCCACTAAGTAGTCATTGTAGTGTGTGGTGTTGGAACTGGCCCACCTGGCCCAAATGGCCATCCTCTAGCCAGGACCCCGGGATACAACAGGTATTTTTCCTCTGGATCGTCACGCTGAGGCACTGCAAGAGAAAGGTGGCATCCTTGAGGTCTCTGGTGATTTCGATGATCCTTGAATCCAGGTCTTAGTAGAAGACCATTGAATGCCTTTTCCAGATGCAAGGATCTCTGATCCTGTAGGAAGGAGTGGTACTACTGGGTCATATCAATATACGTGTTTAATTTGTGATCTTCCCTACAACCTGCAGCACTGCCTTACTTACCAGCATTATTAGGGATGTAGGTGCACAAGTCGAGTCTATACCACCTGACTGCCACTCTTCCAAGCATGTATTGTGATCCAATCAAGGCAGCTGGCAGGCGTGTCTGAGTTGCTGGTTAATAAAGATGGAGGTTCTCTCTCAGCAAGGCAGTGGCAAGGCTTCTCTTAATAATTTCATTGACATCATTTTGTCTAATATGCCATCCTTCGGGAATTGCACAGTTCAAACCAGGTAGAGATGTGAACTGTTAAGAAAAAAATCACCTAATTTACCTATCCTTCTTTAGTCCAGAAGGAACACTGCTACTGAGAGAAATATTTGGCAAATCTTGCGAGCTGAGAGGAGACGCTATACAACAGTTGCTGGGTTGAAAATTTGTTTGATGTGTTGCGGACGTATTCCCTTGAAACACTCACAGATCTATGTGCAAGAACATGGCAGCTTTGTACACTTTTCGTTCATACGTTAATTTTAATAATATATATATATTATATAAATATATATATAAATATATATATATAGTAAGTCTATAGTAATTCATTATTTGTGTTTTATATATATCATGATAAAAAGTATACATAAACCTTATAATCAGCAAAACATTAAAATACATGAGATGGTAGAAATTACAGA